TAGAAAATTTTCAGATTTCAAAATAATACCGTTCTCTCACAGTAGTTCAGTGATGCTGTCAGAGAAAGAGAGAGAGAGTGGGAAGGAAAGAGAGAAGAGGCGGGACAGAAGAAATCGAAATGATATGGGGAAGCAAAACGTCCAAGAGGAAAAGCTCCTACATGGAAAACACAGTGTGAAGAGCAAATTGCTTAGGCTATTACTTCAAGAAGAGAGCTCAAACTTGCTTGCTCAAGTTTATTTCTTGTTTATCCTGTTGCGATATTATGATTTATAAGAAATATATATTTGGTCTTTGTCCACACTTCCTGGCTCACAGCTCCCAAGCGTTTGGAATTTCCTAAGTGTTGAGAGTGACAAAGGTGTCTCTTGTTATGTTAGTGAGGTGACTTTTGGACCCCACCTAAGGATGGAGCTGATTGCCAGAAGAACCAGCCCTGTGTCGCCACTCCACCTCCCCCACACCTCCCCGGAGGGGAAAGGGCTGGAGGTTGAATCAATCACCAATGGTCAATGATTTACTTAATCATGCCTATGTAATGAAGCCTCCATAAAAACCCAAAAGGACAGGGTTCAGAGAGCTTCCAGGTTGGTGAACATGTGGAGATGCGGGGAGAGTGGTGCACCTGGAGAGGGCATGGAAGCTCCAACCCCTTCCCCATACCTTGCCCTGTGCATCTCTTCTGTCTGGCTCTTCCTGAGTTATATCCTTTTACAATAAACTCATGATCCACTAAGTAAAATGTTTCTCTGAGTTCTGTGAGCCAGTCTAGCAAATTAATTGAATCTGAGGAGGGGGTCATGGGAACCTCTGATTTATAGCAAGTCAGTCAGAAGCACAGGTAACAGCCTGGACTTGAGAGTGGCATCTGAAGTCCAAGGAGGGCGTCACTGGAACTGCCAATCTACAGCCAGTCAGAAGCTAAAGTAATGACCTAGGCTTGTGACTGGCATTTGAAGTGTGAGTTTGGGGGTGGCGGGGGGCAGTCTTGTAGGACTGAGTCCTCAACCTGTGGATCTGAGGCTACCTCCAGGTAGACAGTGTCAGAATTGAGTTGAATTATAGGACATCCAGCTGGTGTCAGCTTGCTTGTTGGTGTGGGGAAGCCTGCATACGTTGCAATTGGGTCCAGGAACCCAATTTACCTGTACAAATGATGCAGTCAGGTCTTTACTACAGAAATAATATCTCTTGCCCATGAATTATATAGATTCTTTTTACATATTCTAATTTGTTTTTTTTTGAGGAAGATTAGCCCTGAGCTAACATCTGCTGCCAATCCTCCTCTTTTTGCTGAGGAAGACCCACCCTGAGCTAACATCCATGCCCATCTTCCTCTACTTTATATGTGGGATGCCTACCACAGCATGGCTTGCCAAGTGGTGCCATGTCTGTACCTGGAATCCGAACCGGCGAACCCTGTGCCACTGAAGCTGAACGTGTGAACTTAACTACTGTGCCACTGGGCTGGCCCCCCTTTTACATATTCTGGTAGACTGATTTTATTATTATATAGGAGTAGGTAGTTAAGGCATCAAGATAAAATGTTGGCTACAAAATAACCAATGATTTTATGAAGATATACTATATCTGCTGCCTGATTGCAAACTCCTTGATGACAACAGGGTCCCTTTTGATTCAAGTTCATCAAAGCTGGTAGGTATGGGTAGAAGGACACTGGAGTTTACATGCCAGGATAAGGATAAAGTCTAGAACAAGAAGGTCAACAAGCCATGGCCAGTAACTCTGGAATTTCAGGGCTGAGGTAGCAGAGATTGAGCCAAAGTCGGAGGCAAGGGCCAGAATTTTCCTCCAAAAGGTATTAATGTTGCAAATCAATTCGTAGAAAACATTCTACTAATTTTGAAAATCATTGCCCCATCCTGGAGTTGATTCTCCAGAAATTGTGTCTTAAAGAAGATGGGGTTTTCTTCTGACCATCTCACAGAAATGAAATCTATTTGAAAACACCCCTTATGTATACTATTTTATGTCCTGTGTTTTAAAATTTTAAGTGAGATTTATATCTCTTGCAATTCCTCAACCAAAGGATACAAAACAAGCTAATTTCCTTTCTATTGATTTAATTACTTCAATGATCCTCAATAGAAAATAAGTTGTATGTATGCTTATTAGAATAATTTAAATCACCTAAAAAGATATATTAAAAATATACTTTAGAAAACAATGCTTATCAAAAAGCATTCTGAAAAATTAACAATTGTCCTTTTAAAATGAATATATATTGTTCCCAGCCAGTAAATTTTATAATAATCAATACTTATATTAAACTCATGAATAAAAAATACTCATAAAATCTATTATTTCCCTTGGGTTTAAGATATTTCTTGCACAGAACATAGGACTGCATATTTTCCCTTTCTCAGCTTAATGAAAACATTTTATATAATAAAAGCATCATAAATATTGTTTAATATGTCCTGCCCAATATAGTTCAGCCTAGGAAAAATAATATATATTGTCAATAATGCAGATATTTTAAGAAGCTACATTTGAGTGGTATAGATGGTTAGTCAGTTTCTATAGCAATTCATTCCAGAACCTTTGAGAAAATTTTGCTGAGTTGACCTAAGAATTCATTAAGGATTAATCTGGTTTGTTCCATGATATACAATTGAAAATTCCTCAGGCTATAATAATAGCTTTATTTCCTCCCCTCTTTTATTATTTTAACTTAAAATAAATGGTTAAAAATATAAGGTTTATCAATATGCTAGTTTGTCATTAAAGTGATTTTCTGGCCTAATGATGATACTCAGTTTCACGCTGTTTACATCTCTAATCTTGTATATAGTAATCATGTCTAAGGCCAATAGAATTTTCTGGTTTTTCAAACCTAAAGAACTTAAAGACAACATAATGGTACTTTCATTCATGTATGCTAACTAGCCTTAGAGTTGCAAGATGTGTAGAGTGTTCATGAAGCAGCAGAAAGACTCAGACTGTGTGACAATGGGAATAATATTTTGTGGGGCTTTTAGTACATTGATATACCCTTTTTGAGAGCAACATCAAAATGGAGCAAAAACCATAAAGATGGTCATACTTTTAACCCAGTGATCTCACTCTTGCGAAAAAAATTAAATAGATGAGAAGTTGAATGCATAAGGATATTCCTAGCAATGCTGTATAATGTAACAAATAATGGAAAACTGTCTCCATGGATGACAAGAGAGGAAGTAGTGATTGATGTGATAGCAACATCTGAAATAAAATTTATGATACAATAACCTTTAAAAATAAGACTAGGTAGTAACATACAAAAGTTTATGATATAATGTTAATGGTTCCCACAATGTAATGACAATGACGTGAAATAGATATTAATGTAAACAAAGATCAAATAGTCATATACAAAATGAAAATAGTTATTGTTAATATTTATTATTAATTTTTTATCTTACTGATGTGACACTTTTAAAATTAAAATACAATAGGGTAATTTATTAATCATAGAATTTCTTTCCTAAGTTCTAGTAGATAGTGCTACTGAATCCAGTTGGAACACTAAAAAGACTTGTGGGTTTTATTCAAGTTAGGTGTATGGATGAATCATTACCACCTTGGCAATTCACAGATATTTCAAGGCACCTTCCAAAGGGGTCTAAAACAATAGGAACCCCCAGCAGGGTTGTTGTTTTTTCAGCTGTACGTTTTGGCTGTTACGCTCTTCCAACTCATTATCACGACCTATTTCCTCAACTGTTCTTAGAATGTTGAACATGCGCTATAAATTTCCACACCACATCTTTTAATCCCAATTATTAGGCTGATTCATGAATTAGATAAGGAAAATATTAGAAATCCAAAGGCTGAGGTTTCCAAAAAGGAATTAAGGTAAAAGTCAGAGTAAATAAGGTAGGAGGTAAATTTAAACAAAAGAAATTCCGTGGCAAAGGTGGCGAACTCAAAGTCTACAAGTAGGGAACAGAAGAGCACAGAAATGAGTACAGCAGGCTGGGGATAAGTAATAGGGAGTGAGGGGGATTGTGGCAAACTGCAAAGTTTGCCCCGTTTAAAAGCAGCCAGTACAGAGCTCTGACAGGTTGCTGACATGCATGAATGCAGACCGAGGGCTGCCACATGTTCAGAATCACTCAAGGGAGGCCAGAAATAGAGATTTTCATGTGAAATCTCTTGGGTTTCTAACTGTTGACTGCTAACTTGAATTAGTTTTAATTTTTCATTCATTAAAATTTCATTCAGCCTAATGATAGTGGCCTTTGGGCTTATTTTGTTTCATGGACTTCCTGCGTGCTATCTCTGACCTATAGTTAGCATGCAGGGATTTCTCAAAAGGAAGATCTTTATTTGCCAGAAGTCACATTTTCAGTTGAGACCCTTCATAGGAAGAATTGTAAAACAGAAAAATGCAAAAGAGTGAAGATAAAGTAAATTGTGAGCATATTGGTAAGCATAAATCAATAAGGCCTTGCAAACTACAAGAACATTACACTAAGACCTAAATGTTTCTGAGGAGCAAAACTTTAAAGGACTTTTACTTTTATCTTCTCTATAATGATTGAGGAGACATTCTGAGTCACTACAAAAGATTAGCCCAAAAGGCTTTTTATAAAGATGGCTCCCTTTACCGAAATTACATTAAAAATGATCAGAACCAAATGACAAAATTTGACCAAGATGGAATCGCTATGAGCCACCAAATTGCAAACAGGATCCAGGTGTGTGTCCTGCATGGCATCTGTTGCTAGTCTCCCCTGAACTTATCCCATTCCTTCCTACTCTCATTGTCCATCCTTGGCTGTTAAAAGGAAGTCGCTGGAGACTCTGACTGTCTGGCTGAGTAAAGGAGGAAACTGGAAGCTAAGTGGAAAGCATCTTTATCTGAGCTGTAGCAGTTGACCCATCACCAATGTTAACTCTGCGGATGGGTGGGCATGAGGGGGAGGAAGGAAGGGGAGAGTCATCTATGCTACTGACCATTTGCATCACATGCACCCAAGGAAAAAATGTTTACCTGGTGGAGCCACGGTTAACCTTTTTTCCTTGCTGAGCCGGTGCCCTTGGATGAATTCACTCATGGAAGGGGGGCCCTTCAGAAGAAATGATTCTGTGGAGGTGGGCTCAGGGGGAACGCTTAATAAATTCTGTAGGTAGGAAGCCCCTGAAGTCCTGGGACGGCTCTGATCACAAAGGGAAGGTGAAAATTGTCTTGCAGGAGATCCAAGAAAATACATATAGGAAACAAAAAAGTTTTACTTTAATTACCTTTCAAAGCCTCACCATTGACAACATTATTTATATCGGCATTTAATTTTTTTTTAACACGTAAATCAAGATTTTTGCTAATTGCTTAGTTTCCATACCAGGATACAACCCTATTTGGAAACTATGCTGGATACTGGAAAAGAGATTTATTACAGTTAGTCAGTTTGAACCACAAATAGAAATTATTTATATTATTTGATTCTTTACTGAAAACTCCTAAAATAAAAATTTTACCGTTAACTGAAAACACAGGATAAGGAATTCAACATCCAAGACTCTGGAAAAAGATCACAAAATAATCAAGCCACTAAACACCTTACACGTGATTCCTTTGAGTAATAGTAACATACCAAATGAAAAAAGCACAAAACCTGCTTTTAAGAAAAAGACTATACACATTCCATTGCATTTTGCCTAAAGATAGATATCACCTTTCAGTCAACCATCAGTTTTGGTCACATGAACAAAAGTTCCCCTAAGAGAACATACTCATATCCTTGCCCCATTAAAGAGAAGCCAGTAAACAGCACCATAACCAGAGGTACAATGATTTTTAAACTTATCACCCATGTAAAACATAACTTCATTCTTAATATCCACCTTTTATCTACCAACTTTTAGGCTGGAGGTAAGGGAGAGGCATATTTATGCATACAAGGAACAACAAAAAATGTTGACAGACACTTGAAAAATTATATTATGGTTAATCAAGAGGTGGGGTGTGGGGGATAGAAAGGAATAAACACAATTATCAAAAGGTTTTGATTTGGAAAAACCAGCATTAGCGAGGCCCAATTGTACATCCACTCTCAGTTTTTCTCTTCCTTCCCTTCCTCCATCCTCCACAATAAGAGCACATTAATTTTTGCAGTTAACTAAAATCTGGCCACTGCACCATACTATGAAGATCGCTGCATGCATACCTTTTCCTCTGAGTGCCACTGCTGACCCGAATGTTGGGTGTCTGTGGGCCCTGACTATGCAGGAGGTAAGTGTCTATGGTGGGCACGGTGACTGATGCCTCCCCACTTACTTTAGGGCTGCCGATCTTGCTCTTCCCAAGTTTGCCTTTGCTGCGTCGGGACTGCTCATGGTCAAACTCTAAGTCCTCCAGCCGCTGGGTCAGGGCGAGTTTTTGCTGGATAGCCATTCGTAACAAAGTGTTTAGAGTCTTCTTCTCATCCTCTGCGGCTGCTAACTGTCTCTGCATCTCATCCAACTGTGTGACATATTCATCACATCTGGAACCCAAACAGAAGAGTGGTCAGGAGAAAACCTTGGTGAAATTGAACTTGGAACTGAAGTTGAAAAGTAATGAACTGTACTGGAATTTAGATGTTTAGACCTGGTCTTCCTAGAGCAGAATGGAGGTAATCCATTCCAGCAGAAAACTGGAAACAGCAGAGCAGGTTCAATAACTGATGGTTCATCCATACAATGGAGTACATATGGGGACATTCTTAACAGGTGACATCTCAAACTTTAGGGACAGAGTTAGTGTGGGGGCTGCTCTACGGTGGCAGAAGAATGAACAGTAAAGTCTCAGGTAATGTTCACACATCTTAGATGTGTTACAATAGCTTTTTCTACTGTGTAACATTGTATTCTTTGGAGGAATGTGACACGTTTGTTATAGGCTATGTCTGCAGAATGCAAAGGAATAATAATGTTTATAAAGAAAAAATCATTTCCTTCTGTACCTATATTTATAGGTTTTATTTTGAGTACAGATTACAGCTGCCACTGCTTTCAATATGGCATATTAGCCTGAATTAGAGACCTGAATATTTCCAGTGATTTCTTAGCCAGATGATAAAGCAATAGGCATCAAAGAAAACCCAGATTTGCAGAGAGTTTGATACAGACAGAGCAGGCTGCCAGGAACATCTTTATTCAGGTTTGATACTTGTGCTGCCGTAGGAAGATAAGCTCAGTAACCTTTTTTCCCCACCAAAGGTAAAACCTGAGCACATATACATTTGGAAGCAAGGATAATTCTCACAATTATTCAGCATTTTTTCCTGAGTTTATTTACCCACTAAGATAATAATAAATACTCTTCAGACGCCAGCAGATAGTTACTGACTTTGAGTTATCTAAAATGTACTGTACAAACTTTGAAATTAACACAAGCCTTGTGTCATTCTAAAGAAAAAACAGACAAACTCTGCAGTGAAAGAACTTGAGATCCAGGTGGTTCCCATTTTCCTTAACCTTGAATGTCAAGAAGCATAGTAGGGGTAGCCTAAGAAAAAATCAGGGCTTAGTAAAATACAACGTGGATTTCAAGACCCTTGATTTAATTTAATTGGTCAGATTGATGCAGGCTCAACAGGAGGTTGACATAAGGGAAGCTATATTGTAGAAAAGAAATCATATTGTAACTTTGAATGACCTCTGACTAACCCAGACATGCTCTGTAGATTTTACGTCCCTCCCAGCTGCAGTAAGTCGATAACTTTGTTCTTTTGAGTTCCTGAGGAATGTGATGACCCCCAGGCAGAGAGTCTGTGCTGATGGCCATCATCAAGGACAACTGAAAGGTCAGGGGATAGGGCGCTGCTCCGGTCTCTGATGCATATCCAGTAAACCAAAAGACTATCAGGAACTAGGACCAGATGTCTGCCCGCACCTGGAGATCAGATGGAGGTCCCTACCTAGAGACCAGCTGCCTCCCCTACCCCCAAAGACTAGCCCCGCATATAACTGGCCTGTAGTCTTTGTTCTGTAAGATGGTTCTTTCGGACATTAGTTGGCCATCTTTCCCTATGCTAGCAAGCTGTAATAAAAAACCCTTTCTCTCCTACCACCTTGCCTCTTGATTATTGGCATGTCTTGCAGTGAGCAGATCCCCCACCCCCCCACCTTGGGCAGTAACAAGATAACAATATTTGTAAAAATACTAAGGAGTAAGGCAGTTACTATACCCAAAAAAACCAAATTTCTGTGAAAATGCACTATTTGGGGGTAATAATTCTGATATAAATCAGGTTGAGATTTTAAATGTCCCTTTAAAAATGTTTTGACTTCTCTTTCAAAGAGGAAATAATATGTTTTCTTGATTCTACATGTAATGCTGACTGATTTCTTTCATCAAAGAGGCGGGCATTGTGCACCATCTCCGTTCTCTATCCTGCCCCCCATAGCAGCCATAGTATGCATACTCTACTCCCCAAACTCCACCTGCTCAGACCCAGAGGTCAGTCCCCCTGCCCCCGTGTGTCCCTCTGGCACTCAGCCTCTTCACTGCCATCTCCAAGAGAGTCAGTCACAAAGTATGAGCTTGTGCCTTTAATCTCCTGACATGCAAAGCAAGCTGGACAAATGCCAGGGCTCCTATAAAACCCAGGATTTTTTTTATACTTATATCAGCTACATGTAAATTATTTATTAAATCTTCAAATAAAGCCATCATTATGCTTTGTGAATTCTGTACCAAGTTGACGTCATATAAGATATATAACTGTTTTTGTCTTGGCCCTGAATTGTGACAGCAAAAAAGAGATTGCAACACTATATTGAAAATCTCAGGATTTTGAAACCCTTGAATCAATACATTCTCAGCAATCACTTCAAGTCTAAAAACAAAATACAGAGGCACTTCATAATGAAACGGGTTGGAGGAGGTAGTAACTAATATTTGTCTAATGAACTAGTTGGGCAATGTAAACAATTTGGTAATATACAATTACATTTTATTTTTTTTGTTTATTGTTTCTTTTTGAGGAAGATTAGACCTGAGCTAACATCTGCTGCCAATCCTCCTCTTTTTGCTGAGGAAGACTGGCCCCGAGCTAACATCGGCGCCCATCTTCCTCCACTTTTTTTAATATGTGGGGCACCTACCACAGCATGGCTTGCCAAGCAGTGCCATGCCCACACCGGGATCCGAACTGGTGAACCCTGGGCCGCCGAAGCGGAACGGGCACACTTAAACACTGTGCCACCAGGCCAGCCCCTATATAATTACATTTTAGAAATCATACTTTAATCACAGTGTATTAAAGTCTAAGTAATTAGCTGATATGATGAAATTAATCTTCATTACGCAGGTATCTTCCTCACACAATACTTACTAATGATAAACATTTTTATGTACTCCAATCACAGAAACAAACTTCAGTGCTGATAATATTTAGCTATTTTAGGAAATGGGCTTTTTTCCTCTTATTGGAGGCTTTTTTTTTTTTTGGTCTAATTATTTTGAGCACATAAGCTCTGGAAAAATATCTATAATATTAATTTAAAAATACTTCTACGTAAAAGAATTGCTTGACCCAATGTGTCCAGTAGAGGGCTCTGGAAAACAGCACAGGGGCCGGCCCTGTGGCCGAGTGGTTAAGTTTGAGAGCTCCACTTCTGGCGGCCCAGGGTTCAGATCCTGGGCGCGGACATGGTACTGCTCGTTAGGCCATGTTGAGGCGGGGTCCCACATGCCACAACTAGAAGGACCCACAACTAAAATATACAACTATGTACTGGAGGGATTTGGGGAGAAAAAAAAAAAGAAGATTGGCAACAGTTGTTAGCTGAGGTGCCAATCTTTAAAAAAAAAAAAGAAAACAGCACAAAAGGTTTTTTCTTAGATTTGTCAGAGTGTAATCTTATACATTTTCTTCACAGCCTATCCTTTTAGACAGCACACCAAATACACTCAGGATGCATGAAGATGCCCACGTGAATATTATAGTCTTTCCCCACATACCACACCTAATCTTGGAAGAGGAAACTGTTACCTTGTTGCAAACATTGCTCTCAGGGACGAGAAAGTTGCTGCATCTTCTTTCAGAGCCTTCAGTTCATTTCTGAGTTTCGTCATCGTTTCCGTCACCATTGCTTTTTCATTTTCGTATTTGTTCTTGAGGTTGGCTAGAGCCACCTCAGCCGTCTAAAGCAGAAAAATCACAATGCTTACCATTTTCATATCAGGAAAATCTACCATACAGATTTCTTCATGCTATTACTTTCTTTCATAAGTGGAAAATGGAGTTGATTTGGTTAAATTTCATATAAACATATACATGTATTTGGGACACAGGTCGTTTTTCTGTAATGTCAAAACATGCTGTGAATCCATAAAGTGGTTAAGTTTGTCTTGGAAGTGAGCTGTGAATCAGAGTCAGCATCCGGAGCTACGGGAATGATAGAAGTTCAGTAAATATTTAATGCAGATGGTTGAGAGTGCCTCCTTTCAGACAGGAAGGGAGCCGAAATGAAACTTCATACAAGAAGGATTTTACCAAGAAGGAGTTAGTGGAGAAGCACAGCTTCCAACTGAAATACTGTAGAACTCAAATATTCTTGTGTCACCCATGCTCTGTGGGCCCAGAACACATAGAATAAAAGACACAGGCCGCTGCAATTTATAACATGAGTGTATGACAAACCATAAATCCATATTATATATTTAAGGAAAAGAATTAACAAAGAACCAATTATTTCCTAAGTCTTTGCATACAACTTCTTTAAAACAATGAATTATGGTCAAATTTAATTCTTCACAATCTTCATAAAAGCAGAGATTCTAAAATGTTGGATGAATTAAAATCTTTGTTAGAGTTTGGGGTTTGGGCATGTCTGAAGTTCTTGGAATTGAGAGTATTTCAAACTGAGAACTAGCCCGACAGATACTAGAAAGTGAAAAAAAAACAACAGTGACTGAATCAATGCATAGCATCAATGTATATTTCGGGACTGCTTGTTTGATGCATAGCACATGGTGTACATATTGAAGGCAAACTCAAAATATACCAGTTTTACAAACTGCTAACTACTTTTCAGAATGTGTAAAAATATTCAATACTAATGAAAAAGTCCATTACTAATGGAAAAAAAATCCATTCCTAATGGAATTTCCCAGGAAGACTACCCTGGTTTTTAATATTTCTTTTTGTGCTTGAAATGGATAGCTTCAACGTTCTTATGCAAAGAGCTAATGTCTATAAATGGATTTTTTTTCATTAAAACAATTTTGGGATAGGGTAGTTTGTTAATCTTTTGATTCCAAAGTAATTTCTTATTCGTTTTGATTGATTTAAATTCAGATTAAAATGAGAAGTTGCTCATAAAACACTTTAGTTTGTTCTATTGTGCCATAACTCAGTAGGATCTTCAGAAATATTACAGATTCAGAGAATTATCCAGAATGCAGAAACTGACATGGGGAAAAATGGCAGTTTAATTTTTAAAAAATTTAGACACATATTCATTTAGAACAGCTAAATTTAAGTTGTGAAAATGTAGCTGTAACAAATCTGTAAGCATGTGGTGCCACATGGTCAGTTACCTAAGGGAAGGCGGGGAGGGAAGGGAATAACGGAGAGCAAGATCTGAAATAGAAGTGTGAACACATTTATTATCTGTGAGAAACGCCTCAAAGGACTCAGCTTTGTCTGTAGATTTCTTTCTGCACAAAGTTTTTTTCAGAATTAAGAAATTCTAAGTATCTATAACCCATTAGTAGATTTGCTGATACCTGCATTGGCCACATTCTCCACATCCCAAAGTTGACTTTCTAAATAAAAAATCTTGTTTCCAGCCACAGAGGTCTTCACCACCATTCCCTGAATGTATAATCCTATTCTGTGCCTCTCTACTTCCTGTTCTTTCTGTCTGGAATTATTTCCTCCTCTTATGGAAAACAATTCCTTATCTTTTTTTTTTTAAACAGATTTAATTTTTTTTCCTGCTTTTTCTCCCCAAATCCCCCCAGCACATAGTTGTACACTTTAGTTGTGGGTCCTTCTAGTTGTGGCATGTGGGATGCTGCCTCAACATGGCCTTATGAGCGGTGCCATGTCCACGCCCAGGATTCGAACCAGTGAAACCTGGGGCCGCTGAAGTGGAGCGGTCAAACTTAACCACTCAGCCACAGGGCAAGCCCCACAATTCCTTATCTTTTAAGAACAAAGAAGTATAATTGTTTCTCTGAAGTTTTTTCTAACTTCTCTAGGAAACATTAGTTACTTCCTCTGCAACGTTCCCCTAACTTGGATTACAGCATGTATAACATCAGACTGTAATTATCTGTTTCTATTCTGACATTCTTACTAGTCTGTGAGTCCTTTTCTGGAAGGCAGGAGCCATGTACTAGTCTTCTTGGAATCTTTAGCATCTAGCACAGTTTAGTACACAGATGGTACTTCACAAATATTTGCTTATTTCATCAGAAGACACTGTGCCTACAAAAAATTCCTAAAGTACATTAAAAGATTCACAGAGAATGCAGAATGCTTATTTTTAAAACAGGGAGATTCTTTCTTTCTTCTACAACGGAATTCTTACCTTTGTCTTGATAATAAACATTCCACGAAGTCTTAACATAACGGATGTCATCTGTAGATACCTGAAGCTATTTATGGCACATAGGCATCACAGCAATAGGGCCAACATCATTAAAATGTAAACTAAATGCACGGCTAGAAATGTGTTTTCACTCAATTTACTTAGACCATAAGGGCTGTGACGCTAATGTAATGCAAATGGTACCACAAACCACTGTGAAAATAAAAACGCAGCCAGGAATGCTTTGTACTGCTCTGAATTCCTGTGGCACTGTTTCTACCACTCTGAAGTGCTTGATGATATGTTCTATCCTGTAAATAATTATAGGCACATGTTAAACTCCTACTAGATTACTAGTCATTTATTTTTGCATCCCTACTTACTACCTGCCATGAAATACATAATTAATGAATGCTTCTTCACAAATTAGACTCTCTTGGCCGATCAACCATGCTTACCTGTACTTCTGTGTCAGTGAAGCATCTTGACACTTTTATAGATCTAGCTTTCTAGGTTGGTAATATTCAACCTTCAGGAGGAAGTCAAAGAACTTATCTGAATGGCTTGACCAAGAATGCTCAGGATATTATGTTCTTGATAAAGGTTGTCTAAGCTTTAATACAGTCTTGGTTATTTATGATCACTCTAAATCACTGGGTCTTTGGATTTATGGTAACAAATCCCTTCATTTTGACCTCAAATTGGAGTCAGAGCTCTCACAAATTCTTCATTCACCCTCATATTTTCTATTCCCCTGAAGTGATGGCATAAAATAAGGTCCTAATTCTGCCCTTAGATTTATAGAAAACATGTTTATAGTGCAAACAATATTATTGCTTGTGGTATAGATCTCCAAATTCTATCAATGGATTTATGGGAACTGAAGATAAAGATGCTAGAAAGCTGCACTGTAGATGACATGACAATGGTGTGGTTTCCCCCCGAGAAGGGCAAAAAGAGAAGAACTCTGAATCTGACATTAACTCTCACTCTCCGACAGCAGCACTGCTTACATTTGCAGGAAGGTGTCTGATGCTCTGTTACTTCTCTTCATCAACACCCTTTATTCAGCACCCTTCTCAAATGTATCTTTGAAGGCTCACTTTCCCGATAAACTAAACAGAGGTTAAAAATATTTTCCTGGCTATATTTCACAGCACTCCCACCCAGGCAGAGCTCGAGAGGAAAAGACATTCAGTCATCAAGAAGATCAAGGAATTAGTCAGGTAGTCATGTTACAGCATTCCTACTTATTCCAAAAGGACAAGGTCTATGGTTAGGAAAAATTCTCTGCTGCTTAAGGGGTGATCCAGCTGAATTAACATCCCAGCTGAACCTAAATTTTGTACGTGTAGTCACCAGCAGAGCTAGTGCACGTTCTCTCTTTATATCTCTTTCTCTCTCTACCTCTCTATCTCTTTCTAGAGAGCTCCCCTCTCTTTGTTCTAGCTGCCTGCCAGGGTGCCTTTCGTGCTCTGTCTCCTTGGTGTAAGCTGCCATGCCAGCCTAATCTGCCATCCCCTCTGTCTCCTGTTTCCACACTCAACCACTGCTGGTCTCCTGATAAGTACCACTTGAACTGCCTTTCTTCATCTGCAACTGGATCTCCTCCTTTGTTCCAGCTTTAACTTCCTCACCTTTACCTCCATCTAGCAGTGCATAGCTACTCTCCTATTTCTTTCATTCACTCACTTAAAAATAACTATTACATTCTGATCTGACACTGGGACACAGTTTGTTTTCTTCCTCGGCTGACCAGGAATCTGACCTCTCATCCTGATCATAGTAGACACTGAGAAACATTAAGGAATAAACCAGTCAAGAAAGCATTGGCTAGCATGCATTGTCGGGAGAATGAGATCACCTGTTTGTTGGCTTTCAACACGGCCCTCAGTGTGGCGATCTGCTCCCGTTTGGTGCTCAGCAGGGACTTCAGCTTGAGGATCTCTTCCATTAAGGCTTCCTTGTCTTTATCGATCATGGGGGCCAGCTCCCGTGCCGCTGCTCTTTGACGAGACAGTTGCAAGGACCGGTCCACAGCTTTCTGCAGGTGCTTGATTTGGTCCCGAATTATGGCATTAAGGTTGTAGATGTTCATTGGCTCTTTGCGGATGTCACTTGTATCTAATACTGGAGATGATGGTGGGGCAGTAATAACAGGAGAGATTGTGGGGGTCTTGGTTGGACTTGGTTCTTTGCTGGCCTCTGTATTTTCTTTTGGAACTGGTTCAGATGAGGTCCTTGTTTCTACTGGGGATGACACCCCTCGCCTGGCTAACCGTGGAGACAAAAGTCCCCTGGGATCATCCGGCCCTTTCAGGCTGCCACTTCGGGTGACTCTGCTTTGCCTATAGTAGTCCAGCATGACCCTGTTGGGGGTTTCATTATTACAAAGACATACATGGTGATAAAGCTGAGCTAGCTCCTCACTAAATGTCACCAACTCATCTTGGGCCGTATTAAGGGTATTGTGATTTTCATTGGCTATGCTGGTCATCTTTTGCAACTCCTTCTCCATGTGGGCCATCTTCTCTCCACTCTCCTTGGTGGTCTTCTCAAGGCTTGTAACCTGTTCATCATACATTTGGATCTTACTCTCATACTTGGCCTTCTCTTCAGTGTAGTTTTCTACAGATTTATTATATTTCTCCTTTAAGGCCTTAATTTCAGCTTTCAAATCGATCACCTCAGTTACTGCCACCCTGTATTTGCACTCAAGGATCTCCAAGCCATTGATGTCCACCTCGTAGTCATGGGCCTCCTCTCCTGAGTCCCGGCCCTTCTCCCCATCCATCTCGGCCTTGAGCTCCTTGCTGCTCTGCAGGCCCCTCATGGCATTAACGTGCTCTGTGAGGCGGTGCACCCGTTCATGCTGCTCTGTCAGTGCCCCCTTGGTGTGTTCCAGCTGCGTTTGGGACTCCTGGAGATTGGCCAGAAGGATGGCCTTTTCTCGCTCTACCTGCAAGGGCAAGAAAAAGTCTCTGAAAGACATCAATGCAATGCCAATGATGACCTTAATCCAATCACAGTTGGGCACATATACATTTAAAATAAGTGCAACACATGGGGCTGGCCCCGTGGCCGAGTGGTTAAGTTCGGTCGCTCTGCTGCAGGCGGCCCAGTGTTTCGTTGGTTCGAATCCTGGGCGCGGACATGGCACTGCTCATCAAGCCACGCTGAGGCAGCATCCCACATGCCACAACTAGAAGGACCCACAATGAAGAATATACAACTATGTACCAGGGGGCTTTGGGGAGAAAAATGGAAAAATAAAATCTTTAAAAAAAATAAAATAAAATAAGTGCAACACAGCCAATGTCCCCATTATCTCAAATTAAATTGCACTGTGTTTTCTTATTTCAGCAGTTCCAGTAAAGTCAATCAATCTAAAAGTACATCATTCTGAAAGAAGTATACTATGCATATTTACCCATTCAAATTTTCATACATTATACACATATATTCATAGAACTTGAATGTTACTCAAACAATCTTATTTTTGTCTTTTTATACCTTGCAGAAAACAGAACATGATTTCATGAGATAGTACTTGGCATTTCTTTCTTTCGAGAGCCTTGGAGTACATCTGCTCCTTAGTTCATGTGGGATAAGTGACTGTCTCAAGGTGCCTATGAATTATCATTTTCTTCCCAGAGCTCAACCCAAAATCAGATTTAAAACCTAAGGCTTTAACTTACTAAACAATGCTGAGAACCTTAACCATCCCCTTAAAAATAAGCACGTAATCCTCCCAAATAGACATGTACTAAATTTGATAGCTTTTAATATAAAAGTCAGAGAATATAGAGTTTTGGGGCTAAAAGAACAATTTACAAATCATTTCAATTCTTTCAGTTCAAAATAGGAATTTTAAAAATTAGCAATTAATTTGAATAACGTGACAGTTTTGTCATTATGTAGGTGGTAAGTACTATTGTATATTGAAAAATATTCAGGTCTCAATATAACATACAGTCTCATTAAACAAAAGTATATAAGAAATTGTAATCTGAGAATTTTTAAAACCATTTTCTGTCTCTCCATACAGGTAATCACTATTATGAATTGAGTTTTTACATGCTTTTAACGTAAATATGTTTTTCAATAAGGAAATAATGTTTACAATTTAAAGCATTATATAAGAGGTATCATATCCCTCTGCACTTGATTTTTCTTTTCTTTCTTCTTGATTTTTAAAGTAAACCATCATGAGACCTATTTTAAGGATAACGCATTGATGTTGAATATCCTTGCATCAAAAGGAAGTTATTAATTCAAACCTACAAACTTTCCTAGATCATACATTATATCCCTCCAAAATTTTTTAGATTCCTAGGAGGCAAATAAAATTATTATTATAATAACATAATAAATATTAATTATTAAAGTGTAATTAATATTTATTTTAACCAACATATTACTTTAGAACTATATCTATTTATCTAAAAATTTATAATACAGTAGAGTAGTATTTTTATGATCCTTTGTGGTACTTGATATCCTTCATATAATTGTCATGTACAGACAGTTCTCACGTGGCAAGGTTCTAATATGCATGAATTTCAGTGACCATGACTTAGTTAAAATACTAGTTCTCTCAAAGCTCAGTTCAAATTTCAATGACCAATATACTAACTGTGAGCAATATGTAAAGTACAAACTTTGCTGCTTCAGTCTACAAAATCACCACCTAATAACATCATGACCAGTGACCAACCACATCACTTCATTCAAAGTCTGTCAGTGATTAGTCACTGTATATCTGCTATTCAGTTCACTCACAGACAGCAAAGTGCGTAATTGTGTCGTCTTCTTGTCTCCCAGTGATACACCCACATGATGTTCTACAAAAATAGATAATCCAAAGAGGGAATTGGGAAAAAAGGAAGGAAGGAGGGAAGGAAGGAAGAAAAGAAGAAAGAAAGAAAGAAAAGAACAAACAGCGAAGAAACAAAGAGTGACAAAGCTGGCAGTGCAATTTGAATCAAACATAAATGGAATTACAGAAGAAATAGTTGAATGTAGGAATGTTGACACTGATGTTGTTTGGACTTTAGATATGCAGCCAAAGCAACTTAGTAAAGTTGAAAATGTCCTAGAGGAAGTGACACGGGAACACTAAGAGTACTCTCAGAGATATTTTCAGACATTGAAAGTGCAAAGGATAAAATGTTGGAAGCTGATCCAGACTTAGAAAGGAGTATGACAACTCACCAAGGCATAGAAAAGATTCTTGCTAGTATAAGTTACATGATCAGAAAAAGGCAAGATTAAACTACTCTTAATAAGTTTCTCTTTTGGCGGGAGGGGGCAGTTAAATTTTTATTTCAAAAGTTTGGATAGCTTTGATATTCTGCAAAATGAAATTTCCCTAGTGATTTTGGGTGGGGGGGGGAGGGTTAAATTTGTATTTCAAAGACAAGGTTTTATAAAGAAAAACTTAATGTTTCTAAGTTTTAGATTATGGTGTACTAAGTAGTTTCACTATTTTTTTCATTTCTCTATACATTTATAACCAACAGTAAGAGAGTTTTTAATGTTTTAACAAAAAGTTTTTACAGGTAGCAGAACAATTGTAATTTTCTCCACTAATTATTGTTTGTTTGCCTGACTTCAGCTTGCAGAATCATCCTTAGGGCTCTGCAACATCACGTAAAGCAAGGACCACCTGCATAGTATGGTCCTGTATAGAAGAACTCAAAAAAAATGTTTCTTATTTTAAATTATTATTTAGAGCCTTCAAAATAATATTTAATTTTAAATTAATATTTATTTTAAATTATCTTTAGAGGCTTCTAAGTTGTAGCTTTGATTTTATGACATAGCGCTTGCCCATGTCTACAACAGAAACACAATCCACAAGTTACGTATTATGGCTACAGAAACCAAAATATTCCAAAAGAATAGTATTATTATAGGTAGAAAAACCGGGGCCGCAGCATCAGAGAACTCGAGTCAAATCTTGGCACAAACATTTACTTAGCTATGTAACTCTGGGCAAGCTTCAGTTTAGTAATCTATAAAAGGAGCACAATAATGCCTGCCTCACAGGGACATTTTGATGATTAAGTAAGACAGTGAATCTAATGCTTAGGGTATTTCATTTTAGTATTTTATTTATTTTTCTTCTTCTCCCCAAAGCACCCCCCCCCACCGCCAGTACATAGTTGTGGATTCTAGTTGCAGGTCCTTCTGATTCTGCTATGTGAGACGCTGCCTCAGCATGGCTTGATGAGTGGTGCTAGGTCCACACCCAGGATCCAAACTGGCAAAACCCTGGGCCACCGAAGCGGAGCGTGTGAACTTAACCACTCAGCCACAGGACCGGCCCCTCAGGGTATTTTAATGTTAGCTGTTGGTAACATTTGGGGAACTGTGGTTCAATTCTCATGACCAAAATGATTCTACACAGTAAATGCATCTGTCTCACAAATTTGCATCTGTATGTGCAAAAGCAATTTCTTCATTTCAGAGTTAGGATACATTTGAATAAAAATCCTCTTAGCTGAGTTTCATTAGATACAACAGATTGTATCTCCATAGTTGAAGATGAATTGACTTATCCAGACTATTGGGCAATAATTTTAAGTGAAAACTAGGTAATTATGTAATATGATATTTGATGAAAATTCAAGTCATCTGAATTTTTAACAAAGGAGATGGAAAATCTCCTAATATTCTATTACTGGTATTGTATAGAATCTCAATGAAAATGGATTCTTTCAGGATTTTTTTTATGGTTTTCTTTTTCTGTTGAAAATTAAGTGAATTTGCTCTGAAAAGTCTAAACATCATTTGATTAGTATACATGACAACAACAGACAAAGCTATTTTCAAAAAGCCCTTTAATAGGAAAAGCTTTGGATAAAATAAAAACTGGGCCAAACAAAATGTACTAAATGTGTCTCAAGCTGGTTTTAGAGGCAAAAGTGTTATGATGAATGAGGTAATGCCCTTAGGATAGTTTCCCATCTGTACTCTGCCAATTCCAATTTAACATAAACATTGTCTAAGCTTAAAAGGATAAGTCTGTCAGTTTCTTCATGACAGCACCTCCAGAAAACATCAAATAGAACAACGTCTCTTTTGTGTGTGTATGCTCCACATACAGTCCTAATTTCCACACTCAATACATTTCTGGTGGAATCACTTGAATAGAGAATGATATCCAAATTTGATACATACAGACATACATACACATGTACATACACACACACATATGTGTATATACATATTTTTTCCAGACAATTAAGGTTGGTCTGCCTCCTCCAAAAAAGATAACTAAATTGTGGATAATTTTGTACAACTCCAGCATTATATTTTCACTCAGCTGTCGAGAGGCTTGGAGCACCTTAAATTGTATTTGAATTTCAGAAAGCAGCGCTTAAACTATTTAAGAGACATTGTGCTTTGAATTAATAAATGCAAAGCACTTTAAAGATTAAAATTACTATTCATTTTAAGCGGACCACTTTAACCTCCATTGGTGAAGAACTTATCCAAGGAGACTTGCTGGGTTAATTATCACCTTCTATAATGACTGGGAACAGTTGCCTTATTTCTCTTCCTATGATCTCCATCTTCTATCTGGAACTGAGGATTTTATTTTTCATAATAGGGCTGGTTGTTTTGCCAGAAAACCTGAATGCAGAATTTGTAAACTCTTCAGTCCAGTGTAAGTATACAGTATATGTTAAGTATTATTACTGTTGTTATTATGTTCCATTGAAAGTATTTTTAATTTCACTGAATGTTTACCTTTTAAATAAACACATTTACATGCACTGAATACTGACAGATTCTTTTGTGAAGGAACAAATGAAAAGATAATCAGAATTTGCCCATTCATATCAGGACTTCTACAGGAAAAGAAATCAAAGCCGTTTTATAAGCTATTCATTTCCATAAAGTCTTTATCTTGATATCTGACTGTTAACTTGACACTGAATGATTGGTGTG